GAACAGTGCCGGTTCGGGCTGGTTCTGGGTCGGGCCACCCGACCCGAGTCCAACCCTAAGCTCAAAAAAGGACAGAACTATGAAGAACATTACTGCAGCAAAGGTCCAAGTGAAATTAATATAGATACAGAAAAAGTTGCAAAGGTTTAAAGGAGAACATCGCAATGGTGGAGAAAAAGAACGGAAGTTGTATGGAATCGAGAATGGTCTTGATTTAGTTTCTCTCAGTCAAAAGAACGTGTTTGGGTGTTTCTGTGAGACAGGTCGTTACAGCGATGGATTTCGGGTCGTTAGGAGTTGATTGGTTGTGGCTTTGTGAAAAGGTGATGGTGGGGATACAGCCCTGCACTCGGTCCCTAGTAGGCTTGGACCCGGTTTGGGCCACCCGGTTTGGGCGACCCGGCCCAGGAACTGGCCCGGCCCGGTACTGTTTGGGCCGGCTTGGCCCGGGAACCGGGGTACCGGTACCGGGTCTAGGCCCGGTTGAAGGGGAAACCGGGGGTGGGTACGGGTTTAGGGAATTGAGAACTGGCCTGGCCGGTTCTGGGCCCAGTTCGGGCCTTTTCATTTTATTTTTTTTGTTTTGGGGCTTTGGGTTGGGTTTAAATGGGCTGCAATGGGTGTTTCAGATGGGTTTGTGGGATGGGGGGGGGTAGGGGATAAAATAATCAAGGAAAAAAAAAATTAGAACCGTACCCGACCCGGCCTGGGTTCGGACTGGCACCGGTCAATCTCCGCTCCATGTGACTTCTCTTGGGATGGACTCAATGGTGAAATGTGATTGTCGGCTCAGCGCCGCTGTCACGTTTCTTAAGTTGTGGCTGACAACAGGTCAACAGCCATAGAACGCCACCACTTCAACATGGATACGCTTTTGTTGGATTACTTGGATGAATGAAAATGGAGATGCATCAGTAAAAAGTCTGAACTGGTGAGTCTTGCTATATAAATAATAAGGGCAATTTGGATATTTGAGTTTATTTAATTTATTATTATTTAATTTTTTGACTCTAAATAGTAAAATGGGGGCTTAGAATAGAATTACCAATCGTTAAGCCATGTTTTTTTAATGGACCATACGGTCTCATTTTATTAGCCTATTTTTTAATCTTATTCTGGTTTTGTTAGTCTACTTTTATAAAAATCTTATTCACTAGTTAAAATCTATAAAAATTAGTTGAGATGTTCAGTATCCTTCTGTCTTGCAATAATTGCTTCTACAACATGCAGAAGTAGTATCAATTGGCAAATCTCAATTTGTTGAATTTGATTTTTTATAATAAAATAAGTTTTTTCTTTTGAAAGGAGAATGCTTGATCTTTATTAATAAAAAATCACGAATTGAAAGACACCTCATAACACTTGTGACTATCTCACTCTCTGATCGACATAAAAAAATCATTCTATAGAAAGCAACACTCTTTATGGGACATGCGAGAGATTTTGAAGTAGCGATCGACTTAAAAGCCAAAATACATATATCCATTTAGTTTAAATATGTTTTTAGTCTTTGCAAATATATTACATTTTGTTTTATTCCCTGCAAAGTTATTTTTTTGTTTTTCATCCCTGGAATTTATGTTGGTTTTCATTTTAGTCCATCACTGGTGATAACAACCTCCGCTTGACACGAAACAAGCCCAACTAATAGGTTTTTCTATGATCCTTTGTCATGTTATTCTAAAATTTTAAAATTTTAGTTTTTGAAGATTTTTTTATGCATAATTTAGAAATGTGAATAATTAGTTTTAAATTGTTTTAACTAGAGATGGCAATTCTGACCAATCCGATGGATACCCGCACCGAACTGTCCCGGTCAAAACGGGGAAAACCGGGTAACGGGTACGGGGCGGGGAATACCCGTTTTGTTTTTACGGGTAAAGGGGCGGTTATGGTTTTATACATGCCCGCCCCGTACCCGCCCCGTTTATTTTTAATTATATTTTTATTACATTCTTATCTATTATTTGTCCCACAACTAATAAAAGATGATATTTTTCTATTTTCATTGTGTATATATGAATAATAAATTTACTAACTATAGTGTATGAATGAAAGTTTATAATAGATCTTAATAGTCTTGATGTCATTTTCTCCTTTTAAAATATTATTTTTATATTAAAATATAAAGGACTCGTTTAATAAAGCGATTACCCGCGGTTATACCCGTTACCCGTTGGGGCGGTTATGGTTTGGATAAAAATTACCCGTTGGGTAATGGGGCGGTTATGGGGCGGGGGAATTACCAAATGGGGCGGGTACGGTTATATGTAAAACTGTCCCCGATCCGCCCCGTTGCAATCCCTAGTTTTAACTCTCATATCAGCCTCAAAAAAATTGTAAAAGCATAAATTTAAACATTTTTAGTAGGTTTATGTAACTGTCAATTTTTTTTTACCTAAACAGAGTGGTTTAGGAGTTAGTGATGGACTATAAACAAAATATTGCATATTACAGGTATGAAAAACAAAAAAAGAATTGCGGGACTTAAAACAAAGTGAGTCATATTTGCAGAGAGTAAAAGGATAATTAAGCTTATCCATACCCACATAAACCTCAAAGTTCAACTCCACCCACAATATAATTGTCCGAATAAAAGAGTACGACATAACAAAAGAAATACTCTGTAGCAATAACATAAACAAATAATGAAAATAAGAAAAGTCCAATGCCCAACCAAACTTCCTTCCTCTTTTTTCCTGCCAAGCAGTATCCTTAATTTCAGTCTGGAGAGCCACTTTTAGATGCCCCCCCCCCCCTTGAAGCAGGCATTCTCCACCTCCAAATCGTTGCTAGAATCAACATGTGGCTCCTCTTCGATCTTCTTCCTCTTCTGGTCAGATTTTAGTTCTCGGGTAGATAAATTGCCTTGTACCATTATTTTGTGATCATTCTCCTCAGCAACCTCTGTCCCGTGACTTATCTAATCGCTCCTACTATCATCCAATGCCGAAACAATCCACCTGTTACCTTTTGAATGCACCCCACCCAGGGGCGGAGCCAGAAAATTGTGTGAGAGGGTCAGAATTTAATTATATACAGTATCAAAATGATGGATAGTTATTATACAATACTTGAGTTAAATGTTTAATATGTAATCGAGATAAATGGTAGTTTAATGAGTATTTTCGATTAATGTATTGATATATAAGTAATGTATTATAATGTTTAGACTGAATAAGGTGTATTATTTTTAAATTTAAGAATATACTCAACGTCACACATCAAATTTTGTTTATTTCAAGTTAAGATGATTTGCTTATTTTTCCAGAAGTTATAATTTTTTACTCGTAATGAGTTACGAGACCCATAATATATCAAATCGAAGGTATTTCAGAACTCTACATTCTTGAACTTTCAGCGGGGTCGGCTGACCACCCTGACCCCCCTTGGCTCCGCCCCTGACCCCACCTCGAGGGGCTCTAAGCCACGACCCAAATGGGTTAGTGCTCCCATCCTCTCCTTTGCCAATTAGGCAAGGACATTATTTTTTTTGCATTACCAATAATCCCACAAGAGAAGTGGAATCTATGAAGTTTCTCATAACGAATATTAACGGAGAAACTCAGCTCTCCCCCTTACGCAATTGTAACTCTTTTTTAAGAGGGTTTTTCAAAGTTGAGGGTCGCCCTAATTCACATATAAGAATTTCATAAAGCGTTTTTTTCATCCACTTCAATAAAGGAACCTAAGCGATTTCACTGTAATAACTTAGCAACCAAAAATCCGCCTTTTTAAACTGAGCACATAAAGGGAGATCCTCCTTCTCAACTTTACCAATCACAATAAGACTTTGGTCAAACAACCAGGGGCCCTCATTTAGAATCCTATCAAGGTCTACCTCATGATAAAATTGAAACTTATAGCGATGTAACCCTAGATCAGTAATAGTTATCCCTTTCAGAGGCTTCCAGACTGACGTCGTCGTATCTTTAAAGAAAGATAAAATGTATTAATTTTCCAGACGTAATGGTATTCATCACCAATACCAATTTCAAGTTTTCCACCACTAACCAAATTGACTCTATATTTAATGGCTCCTCTTGGTCATCCAAACCTAGAAAATATTATAACAAGTTTATAAACCATATCTTAGATAATCTTTTTATGTGATTTTCAAACGAGCTTTGAGCACCTTTTTAGTTTATGCATTGGCATGATTAATCACAGAACAATTTATGGATGTAGTCTTTTAAGTACACTAGTATTGGACCAAAATTGCAACATTCCTCTACGTATGTAGGGGAGCTTTATGCTATCACCGAAGATGTCCGCAAACATTTTTCATCAATTTTTTTAAACCCATTTTTTTTTCCTATTTTTGTCTTCAAGAAATTGCCCTAAACAAGAGAAAAAGTTTATGAATTTCAAAATACTTTGTACGATTATTAGGTTCATATTCCTTCAATATGAGTAATTATTGTCATAATTTTATATAATCATGCATGTTTTAAAGATGTCAGTATATTTCAAAGTTTGTAGTAATTACTCCTATTTTTAAAGGAAATCGCCAAATTATATTAATATAAACAAACGTATGCAGTTACAACCAGTAAAAAGCTCAAAGTTCCACCAACATTCTTCCAAAAGACTCAATCTAGATTCAAAAAAGACCTTACGATCAGATTCTGAGACGATCACCTCTAAAGAAGCAGCATGAATCGATGACCATCAAACATGCAACATAGAGTTCTATTATACCCTTTAGCTCATGACCGTACTCTTTCCCACTTCAAAAATCCCAAAATAGCCAAAAAGTCTCCTCAGCCCCTGATGAGGCATAGAAAGTTCTACCAAAATAGAGCAAAACTTTTCTTTGAACATACGGGAGCTTTGAGGCAAACAACAACTTTAAACATCTCAAGAACGTCACTAACACAATCAAACCAAAACCAAGGTAAAAGGTCTAAAGAAAGAAAACTAAAGTTTGGAATAAAAATAAATCAAGAAATCGCAAGTGGCCTAACTCAACTTTGAAGCGACATCTTTTAAACCTTAGCCACACAACCACTTTGAGGGGATGGTTCATCAAAACTTCATCTTCTTTGTTTATTTCATCATCCAACCCCAGGGTTATTAACTTCAAATCCGTAGTCGGTGAATAGATTCTCTGCTCTTGCCTTTGCACTGTACAATCATTTGCATCCTTATCGCCCTTGAATCATCGACCAAAGAACTCAAACGAAACTCCAAGGAATTCGCACTCCCAGGAATCCGTGGCTACAAACTCACACCCCACTTGAGGGAGACATGTGATGGTTCACGCTATTTTTGAAATAGTAACTACTCTTGTTTAGAAAATAAAAATATGGTATTGTTTTTGTTCCGATATTAGACATTTTCATTCGTATTTTTGTCATTTGACCTTTTGTGCGGGTAAAAACATTTCCGTGCTTGTTCTCTGCCGGATGGTGTGGGCCCAACTCTCCAGGAACAAAGTTAGGATGTTTTTAATTTAATTGAAATTTTCTGATCTAATTTGTTTAAGTCTGTTTTGGTTTGATCAGAACAGATTTGATCTGGTCTGCTAAAATCTGATCTACTTATATTTTTCAAATATTAAAATCTAATCTGATCATGTGTTAGGGGTGTTTGGAACTGATTCCGATTCTGCTTCTTTTTTAAAGAAGAAGCAGAATCAGAATCAATTTTCAGAAGCTGGTCACCCTCGGATTCTAAAAAAATTGATTCTATGAGTAAATTAGAGCACCAGAATCACTTCTACGCTTTCAACCAAACACTCAAGCTTCTGAGGGGGTGTTTGGATCTGATTCTCAAAACTGATTCTGCTCCTTCCGGGAGCAGAAGCAGAAGCTGGAGTGTTTGGGTGAAATTCCAGAAGCACTTCTGGAGCTCTAATTTACTCTGAGAATGAGTTTTTTTAGAAGCTGGGAGGTACCAGCTTCTGGAAACTAATTCTGATTCTGCTTCTGCTTTTAAAAAAGAAGCAGAATTAGTTCCAAACACCCCTGATTCTGCTCTTTGAGGAAGCTGAATCAGTTTTAAGAATTAGATCCAAACACTACTGTCTTATCCGATTTGTTTAGTCTAGCCGAAGGCCGAGGAAGGAGAAACCGCTCTGCAGTGTTTGAACTCCGAAAGTTCAGACATGACAGAAGACCACGAGGAGAAATCTGGAAATGCAACAACAGGGTTAGAAAATGACGACGGAGAACTTGGAATGAAGCCATGGGAGCAGCATTCTACTGTGATCAGCATACCTCGCTTCGACTACAACGCTTCCTCTTCTATCCTTCGTCACTCTCACTGTGGCTTTCTCATCACCTGCCCCCTCAGTCAGTGCTCTCTCATCACCTGAAACCAAATTAAGCAGTGTATTATTCAGAAATTCAGATTACTGTGTTACGGGGTTGTGTCATATATGTGGTATTTTTGGTGAATATATGTATGTATGTATGTATGTATGTATGTATGTATGTATGTGTCTGTGTGTGTATGCATGTTTTTTACCACTTATTATGCACATACGCATGTATATATGTTTATATATATGTGTGTATGTAAACAAACACAATGACACACACATTGAAACAGATGCATGTATGATGAATTGGATATACAGCACTATATCTCTGATTGCTGAGCTGTTCTTGTTGCTGTAGATGACACACTTCATGCTTCACTTTTTTCTATAACGTGTGGTCTGTTCTTAATTCTTATGCATAGAACATGGTGAACTTATATCCCTAGGGATGTCCATATGGTGGTAGTGAACTTCTTGATGGGTTAAGAGCATCACAATATACAATACAGCCTCTAACCTTAGGCCTTGGCAAGTTGGGTTCATTGTGTAGTTTGGTGGAGATTTGTGCGGTTGTGCCGCTCTCCAGGCTGTTAAACTTGGATGGAGCCCCATCAGACTCATTCCTTTTTCCGTCTCTCGATTTACAAAAAAAAAACAAAAATAGGACGGATGGGAAGAAAACATGAAAAACCCCTAGTAGGTGAACCCAAAACCTCCTTTGGTAGCCTGGTTGGTTTTCCTTCATTATGGGTGTGCATCTACTTTTCATGGATCACACATCAAAAGCTCACTTGCCCACGACCCCCTTGATCAGACATGGTACTTGATAGGACTGTCTAGGGTTTCAGAAGAAATACAGAGAATTAACAAGAACAATGGCAACTTTATTAGTGTTAACAAGAAACGATTACAGGAAATCAATGGCCGAAGCCCCCAAATGAGCCGAAGCCCCCAAGAAAGAGAAACTCTCGATCTCCCAAGTCCCAGTCTGACAAATGTCTAAACAGCCTGCCTCCCTTTCCCCCCAGCCCATTCTATTTATACTAGACTTTATTTTTATTATACTCTATTTGGGCCAGGCCCCTAACAATTCTCCAACCTAAACATCCACCTTGCCCTCAAGGTGGGTGATAGGACACAGCCATAATCCTTTTATTTTCTTTCATCCTAGCACTTCTTCCTTTCCAATATTGGCATGATTTCAGGACCCTTAGCTTGGCTGATTCCATCTTCTTACCTATACCTTTCAAAACAGATTTACACTGCTGCCAGGATGTTTTATCCAGAATTTTGACTCTTTCTGATTCCTTGAAGGTTAGGGCCCCGCTTGCTGCAACACCAAATACATCAACTTCCTGCTCTTGAGCACTTCCTTCTGAAATATCTATATATAACCCATGGGATTTCAGCAATTTTCCTTCTCCCTTCTTGTCAGTTTTCAGTTTTCTTAATAAGGGATCTCCGTTTATATTTGCCTTCTGCCCAAATACTTCCCATTGGATGGTTTGATTCTGAAAGTTGACTGCCATATCTCCTAGGCCAGCTAACCAATCCATTCCTAGCATGACCTCAACTCCACCCAATTGCATAATATAAAATTTCTGCCGAATTTCATTTCCTTGTACATCCACTGTCAGCCCATCACACCTACCATAGATGAAAAGGAATTCTCCATTCCCTAGCTGCACTTTATGCCTTTTTATGTAAGCAAAAGGTATCTTCCAGGCCTCCACAATCTCCTGTGAAATGAAATTATGAGTCGCTCCACAATCAATCAAAATATTCACCTTCTTTTCCTCATTCAGCCATTTCAGAATTCCCCTGACATGGAATGTTCTCATGGTTGGTGTTCCTTCCTGGTCCACAACAGATAATTGCAAAGTTTTAGCTTCCATATTTATTCCTTCTTCTCCTTTATCTTTACTATAATCAGATTCCTCCTCACCTTCAGATTGTTCTACCAACATCACTGAAAAATTTTTCATTCTGCATACGTGACCCCTATTCCAGTTTTCGCCACACTTGAAACATAACCCCTTCTTACTTCTTTCTTGCAACTCATTCTGTGATAATCTGGGACTTGTCTTCATATAAACAGAACTTGATCCTTCTTCCAGCTTCTTGTTACCGTCTGAGTTCTTCACCAATGGATTTGTAGATGCCAGATTATAACTAATTCGACTACCAACTTCCCCTTTAAGATAGCTCTGTCCTGTTCTCTTTCTTTCCTCCTTATCCTTCACATATAGGGTTTCATAATTCTTCTTTTCAATTGCAGAAACTGTATCCATCACTGCTGCCAATGTTCTGGGACGATGTAACTTCAATTCTGCTCTTATATCTCTTCTCAATCCTTTAAGAAAGGCTCCTTTCAAAACTTCTTCAGTTAAATGGCCTTGTGAAGCGATAGCCTTTTCAAATTTATCTCTGTAATCCTGAATTGTTCCCTTCTGCTTTAGGCTAAACAGAGGTCCTAGCGGATCCTGTACCAGATCAGGTTGAAACCGCTTACTCAAAGCTTGAGTAAAAGTACTCCAATTCTGCTGCAATGCTTGTCCCTCCCACCACTGGAACCAGCTTAAGGCCTGGTCTTCCATGGCTACGACGGCAACGTCAATCTTATCCTCTTCTTCAGTCCTATTCAAGCGGAAGTAGCGGTCCATTCTGATTAACCATCCGCCGGCGTCTTCCCCATTGAAAAGAGGTAAATCGATTTTCCTTCCTATCGGAGGATGATTTCGATTATACCTGTGGTGATCGCGGTGTTGATGTCGATGTGAAGGAGAATAGTCCGAATTGTTTTCGGATCCTTCTGAACTGGTTGCTTGTCGCGAACGATGATGGAGAGTTGAACGATGATGGTGATGACTCGAAGTGTGATGCGATGCAGATGATCGATGCGATGCAGATGAGCGATGCGATGCAGATGAGCGATGCGACCTACTGCTGGATCGATCTTTGGCATCCAACCTGGCCATAATCGCTGTCAACATCTCCGTTGTCCGTTGATGATTCCGATCAACTTTCTCTTCCAGTCGGTTGTGATGATTTTCCAACTCAGTCAACCGCAAATCCATTTTCGTCCTCGTCCAGACCATCCACAGAAGCTACCGTCTCTGATACCAATTGATAGGACTGTCTAGGGTTTCAGAAGAAATACAGAGAATTAACAAGAACAATGGCAACTTTATTAGTGTTAACACGAAACGATTACAGGAAATCAATGGCCGAAGCCCCCAAATGAGCCGAAGCCCCCAAGAAAGAGAAACTCTCGATCTCCCAAGTCCCAGTCTGACAAATGTCTAAACAGCCTGCCTCCCTTTCCCCCCAGCCCATTCTATTTATACTAGACTTTATTTTTATTATACTCTATTTGGGCCAGGCCCCTAACAGTACTTCATGTTGTATTCTTATGATTACTCTCCCTTGCTCCAAACTAGCAATTTGCTTTCCATGCTGCACCTTGCACAAACACCTAGTTGTTAACTCCTCCACAGTCCACAGATAATGCTGGCATACCCTGTTTCCCTATTGAAACTTAAATGTTTATCATCTTCTTTCTCTGTTAAATGTTAATGGATTGAAAGTTACGGTGTAGTCTATACCCATACAATGATAGAAACTGAAACTTTTAGTTGAGTTAATTGCACTGTGTGTCACCACTGTAACATATAATGGATGTATGAATTTTTTCTTTCTTTTCATCAGAGAGGGAAAAAAGTGCAACAAAAGAAGCAATTTGTATATTGGAAAAGGTTGTTCTCGGGAATCCTTGTATGCATATACATGAATAGATTGATATGCTCTCATGTTTTCTTGCTCTTTACTTTGTGTTCCCCTCTTCCTAAAATAGTTTTTTTTCTCTGCGGCACTATAAGAAGTAAACATGAACCAGGGATATGCAAATGTTTAATTCTGTTTTTAATGTGGTTAAGATATAAGATATGGCCATATGGCAGATTGGCAGACTCATCCTTGACAGAGTTTAGGCAAGAAGAGCATCATCTTTGATAGAAACTATAGAGACTTGACGTTGGTAATTTGGGTGATATTTTAAGAAGACTCTGATACTGTGATAGTGAGATGTGGTTCCTTGGGGCCGTATCACATTTCAGTCAACAATTTTTTTGGCATCAAAGTAAACAATTGTCTTTTTAAAATACCAATATATTACTGGATATACAAAAACAAAACAGGCATCAAAGTGAACATTTAAATAGTGAAAAAGTTGGTGGCAGTATTATTGGTTAAATAGCTATTATACTACAGTCTACAGTGTTGTGAATATTCATTACTAAGTTATAACTAGAGTGCCTAGCGTAAATACTTGTCTCTCTTAGCGCTTTGGTGTTGTCTTCATCATTATTTATATTTTGATTATTGGTACTTGTCACCTCATGCTCACGAACTTCAAAGTTCTTGAATTTTTCTTCTTATTACATTCTGAATGTCTTCCCATGCATTCAAAATGTCTTTGGGGTGTTTTTTGCTCAATCACATGGTTTAAAAAGGCGGTTAAGAGGCGGGTTTTGAGGCGTGCTTCAATGTGAGGGGCATAGAGGTATTGAGGCTTAGGTTTACTTAGCAAGATAAGAGGCTTACGCTACAAAATTCAGGGCATAAGCTTTGAGGTGTGCCTCAAGGCGTTTTTTGAGGTGGGATTTTCTTTGTTTAATACTCCCTCCGTTTCTAAAAGAAAGTCACGGTTTGACTTCACGATTATTAAGGAAATAAATTGACTTTACTGTAGAAAACACTGTTTAGACACTGTTTGGCATTGTTTGGCACTGTTTGACACTGTTTGGATGTAGATTTCTTTGCCAAATAAGGAAATAAGGGAAGTGTGACTTTTATTTTGGCACATCCAAAAAAGGAAAGTGTGAGGTTCTTTTAGAAACGGAGGGAGTATTTTTTCTTGTGGTTGTAACTTAAATAAGGCCCAGGAAATTTTATTTAATTAAAGGCCCATACATTAAACATGTGTCCACATGTACTTCCTAAACCTTGACAAGTCTGGCAAGTGAAAATTGTCAAAATACTTTTATACTCCTGCACAATGATAAGAATGAGAGGATTATGATGGTAATGATGGAAGGTATGATGGAGTTGAGGCTATAAGGTATTAGGGATGATGATGATGATGATGATAGAGCTATAAGTTATGGTGATTAAGCTTCCAGGTTCTGAATTGTGCCATATGTGTGATGTGTTTGTTTGTGAGTTGGGATTCTCATTTTGAATTATTGTGTTTGAAAATGTGACCATATAATGTATTTGTGTTTGATACTTTTTGGACATAATTATAAGTATCTTTAGTTGGATTGTAGTTATTTAAACTTTTTATTTATTTGTTGTTATATTTTGAGGCTTACGCCTCAGTATGCCTCAAGGTTTACGCCTCGCCTCGCTGGGACAAACCGCCTCGATACCCGAACTAGCCTTTTTAAACCTTGCTCAACCATCTTTGATAAGCTAATTAACTAATTAATAATAGCAATTGTCACAAATATCATTTGCAGTATATTCCAAATGCTGATTCAAAGAAAAGGAAACTCTGCATTAGGAGTGGAGACCCTGACAGCTTGGATTGCAAGGAGTCTGGGTGTAGCAATGAAATGTCGGGCAATAGTCTTGAAACAACTAGTAGGTTCACTGAGCTGGTTTGGGAAGGTGGGCATAAGGGCTATCAAATATTCAAATTTATTGTGGCAGGTAGACTTAATGTATATTAAATGTTTCATGCAGAGTCTGATATGTGTGCAGAAAAGAATCTTGACCTTTCTCTAGTGAAGTTGACCAGAAGTGGGTTGCTTCTCTTAACATTTCCTTGTGGAAAGTCTCCTCCAATTGTCAATATTCTATTTGACATTGTCCAGTCGCTAGAATCTAACAGTTTAAGCATGCCACGGTAACCCCCCCACCCCCCTGCATCTCTTTCTTTACAGGTATTGCTCTTTTAATGGTGATGGGAGCAATACATGTTATTTTCTTGCTCTACCTGTATTGCTCTATCTTGTTATGAATATTGTTGTCACTCATGATGGTAAGTGGTCAAATGCTTGTGTACTGCAAAACAGAAATTAGAATTTCTGAATCAGAATAAAATTGTGAAGTTGTTCCGATACTAGTATAATTTCTATGAGATCAAGGAATCATAGGTTTTGGCACAGATTTTCTGAAAGAGTTTGGATCCTGTTTCATGACTGAAAACTTTTCCTTGATGTGCCTTGCCAACAACGTAGAAAACTTTAGGCTCTTGTTATCATTAAAGGGCCTTTTAAGAAGTGGAAATATATTATTAGAAAGGCTGTAATCTATGTAGCACGGAAACTCTCGGGAAAGAGTACGTTTCCCGTTTCGGAAACTCTCAGAAACTCTTTGGAAACTCCCCAAATAAGCGTTTTTTGAGCAAAAGTTGACGTTTCCCGTTTCCCGTTTCCTCATGATTTCCGCGTTTCCATGCAACACAGGCTGTAATACTAAATAGTGGAATAATGCTAGATGGATCAGATTTATTTATTAAATCATTTTACCATTTGATGTATGTTTGCACAATTAATTTGTGCTGGGGTCACCCTGATGCATGTTGATCTGACTCATGGCTTAATTTGATATGCTGAACTGCTGAAGTAGTATCTAGTTATTTTATTAGATGCTCCGTATATCTTAACTGTTAGAGAAGGATCTTGAATTGTAACCCCACCTATTAGAGAAGGATCTTGAATTGTGATGTTCTTGACTGCCACTACTTTCTAGTGCACTCTCATGCCATTTATGCCAATAGTACATCTTTTAATCTATTTATGCCATCAGAAATCGCAGATGTCATGCTAGACAACCTTTCTCTTAACGTGTTGCATTTTCATACATTCTTTTTGTTTGATATGAGCATGTTGTTTTCATCAATTGATGCAGTTGGTGTCATCGAATATTCCCAATTCAAAGCACATGTGTCTTAGATGAGAAAGGACTTCAAATGACAGTTCCCAAGCTTGTTAATGGGTTTATGATTGACAATCAAAACAAACTTGGCCAACCCGTTAAGGTAATGCAATTACTTTGCTACTTTATTATGATAGTCCATTCGTTGTTTTTATTGCATAGTGGTGTCCAAAATATCAGCCAAACTTTTCAACCTAACCATTTACTGTCTGCCACAGGAAGCACCGCTTCCTGTCTTACTTGCATGTGTTAAGCATGCCAACAGTGCACAAAGTTTATTCAATGCCTCAAAAATCAAAACTTCATTTAAATCCCAAGGACTCAATAGTTTTAATTTAGAGCAATACTAGAGTGACACTGGGTTTCCCCATGCTGTATATTAACCCTATGAAATTATCCTTAGAATCTCACTCTATATTGTTGCATATTAATTCATGTAACGCATATATGTAATTTCATATGGATGTGTAAATAATGAGGTAAACCTTGGCTCCATTTGTCATATTTTTTTTATTTATTACGCACCCGAGAAGTCAGGCAGATGCTGTTTAATAAACTAAAAGTCTAAAACTATTTAAAAGGGAACTATGTAGTAAAAATATATGCATGCTTACACATGTATCTCTATATACACAAATAAGATGATGAGCTTAATGTTATATACTTATATTATGTATTTAACTATTTATTCTTAGTTAACTTAAATAAAATCGTAAATTCTCTGTATATCTTAATTTTGCATTATAGATGTATCTTTTTGGATGAGTATGAGGGTACTGCCCAGAAGATATCAATATTACACGGAGCCAACAGTTATCAGTTCTAGGAATTCCTATAAAATCATTCATCAGAAGGTCCGTAACCTCCGTAGGAAGTTATTACCAGTTTCCCACACCCTTAGGCTGTCTCCAACTCAGAGAGACACTGAGACATGGCCACCAATCCATCCTCCATCATATTCTGTAACACACCGGCCCCGTAGGACCCGAGGTAGTTACTCCAGACCACTAGTATTGTCCTCACAAACCGCCACTAGCCTTTTCCGCGCACTTTGTCCTCACTCGTGCGGGCCCTGAGAAACTTCCTAGGGGGTCACCCATCCCAAGACTACTCCCGTGCAAGCATGCTTAACTTTGGAGTTCTTGGTGATGAGCTCCCTTAAAAGGAGATGCATCTTGTTGGTATGAGTAGTACTATTAATCCGTTTAAATTAAATCTCAAGTATTACATATTCAATCTGGTTACTGGAAATCCCAGCTAATGTGATCAACGTAATATAACTAAAACGCCGTACAAGAAAAATTGAAACCAATTACAAGATCAACTGAAGATTGTCTGAGATAGACATCTATTACAGCAGCAGCATTAGTCCAGTGCCGCAAAGGCTCCCCATCCGAATCACCTATGGTGGGGTAAGGTGATTCGGATGTATGCATCTCTACCCTTGTACTAAAGCACATAGAGACTCTTTCCGGATGACCCGCGATGAAAATTGCGTCGAACAGTTTAGTGAGTCATTTTGCTTTATTCCATCATATTTCTAAATTCCAACCAAAAAATAGTGAGTCTTTGGCTCCATTGGAAATATTGAATCTTTGGCTACATCATATTAGTGAGATAGACATCTATTGCTGCACTAAAAGTAATAATCAACACTTTTCAAGCGACCAACCAGCAGACAGCGTCAAAAGTTGTACACATGAGCAGACTTTGATAAAATAGTGAACATCAAAATCAATGCCAACCAAAATGCGATTTCAACTTTGATAAAAGTGCAACCAATGTTTGATAAAACTTTGAAGCTGCCCTAAAATTTAAACTCTGAATTTGATTATCAACCAAAAACAAGCATTTTTGTGTTTTTTTTTGTAAGAAATAATCAAGACTGTTGAAGCAACTAAGGCATTTGATTTTAATAATATATTTATAAATGTATATATATATATATATGCTTCAATTTTTATATTATACTGTTTCTTTATTATTAAATAAAACTAATTTTAAAATGCTTACTTCTTTAAGCCTTGAACCATACAACGTCCACCACCATCAAACTTGTAAAACTGAATTTCATGGGGTTGCAACGTCATATGAATGAGCAAGTTATTGCTTAACTTTTCCTGAACACCTAACGGCCAGTTAAAAAGAATTGCTAAAATTCTTGAAACAGCTCCTGAACTGGTTTGCAATTGCATTTGAGATAGTGCAGCAGTACACATATCAGTTTCACGGGAATTGGTTTATTCCCAGATGGACAAATGTCAAATGTGAATTTTGGTCTTTCTTTGTAAGTTATTTCTATGAAAGAAGAATTAAAAATGGATGGTGCTACTTGTACACATTTCTTGTACGCGCCTAGTTGTCTGAATGAGCTGCCTGTGCAAACAGGCAACTAGGGGGGTGTACAAGAAATGTGCACAAATAGTTTAATATCATTTCAATTGCAGATATAGTTGACAGACTATAATTAGTTTATTTAAATAACTTTAGTTACTTGAATTATTCATTGCTCCCTTCCTCCATTTGCAAATGAGTATGTCATATGAAAACCGTTTTTGTAGTTTGCAGTGGGATATAACAGAAGGGGCATTGAAGAGTCTGAGATGAAAAATACACAAAGTGACAAAAATGATCATATTTCTACTTTGCTGGACCGTACTAAATGCTTTGATGTTGTTGCAGCAATTGTAAAAGATATTATCCCCAATTCAGTAGTAGATCTAAAGCACCCAGAGGTGAATTTTTTCCTGTTTTTTGAGAAATGCGGTGATTTTGCTTGTCGGTGTTTTTGATTTATTGAACACTGATACTTTTTACAGTTTGCTGTCCTTATTGAGCTACTACCGCTTTCTGGAACTCCTGATGGTTTAGCAGTGGGTGGTGTGTCAGTTCTTCCAAAGGAACTGTTTAGTACAAAACCGCGGCTCTCCGTCAAGGCTTTGGTTTTTGACACAAAGGCTAAGGGTGTGAAAAGAAGCTAATAAGGCAATGTGTTTCAAATGTTCCAAGCCAGTTCATTTTGCTTGTGCTCAAGGTCTAGTTTTGGCCAGCAAATATTTAATTGGCTGTATATTCTGAAATGGAATTGGAGCAGGTGGCGGAGGCCTAGAATCATCATTTAAATCTGCCCAACTTTTTTGCCTATATTTTATCATGAAAGCGGACACCTTGTATGACAACTATGGTTCAAAACCTCTTGGCATTTCTTAAATTTATTCATCACGTAACTACAATACATTGTGTGAATTCTGGGCCCCATGCACCATCTTGAATACCCCTCAGAATGTTTTATTGGCGTTTTTACCACTATTTCGTTCTTTATTTACCATAGTTATTATCCCCTATTACTTTTCTTAATCTCATTGAAAACACGAGGTGACAGAAAGTAAAGAACTGGGGAGTATTGTTGGAATAGGAGCAATGACAATAAACCCACCAAATGAAACCCAAAATTAACCTTGCAATCATAAGAGCAATATTAAGAGTATTGAAATTGCTAATGACCTTGATGGTTCCCGTATAAGGCCCGGTGGGTCCAGCGGTTTGGTTTGGCCCGGCCCGGGTGATGGGCTCGGGCCCTGCTTTAGGCGAACCGGCCCGGCCGGTTCGGGCCCGGGCCGGGCCGGATTTTAATTTTTTTTTTTTGAAATTTTTTTAAGTTTTGGGTTGGATTACGTATTTTGGGCCATTTGGGGTGGTTTGGGGTTGAGGGGGAGGGGTAGGGGGTTAAATAGGAGAACAAAAAAAAAGGACCGGTTTGGCCCGGCCCGGCCCGGAACCGGCCTCCGGCGGTTCGGGCTCGGGCCCCAATTTTCTGGCCCGAGGCCCGCCCGGGCCCATGCCCGAACCGGGCCCGAACCGGCCCGAGTCCAGCCATATTCCCGTACTTCTATCTCTCTTGAATCCTGACCAGCCAAAAGCACTAATTACCCCAACTATGCAAAAAATAAATACTTGGACTAAATAGAAAAGAAATGCGATAAAGAAAAATGCAAATCATATCCAATAATCCAATCATCATCTGTATCACTTCTAATTCCCTAGCGATCCAGTATCAGAAATGCTACTTGTATACCGGCATACATGCTTGTTTACAGAGTATATTTTATCCGTGTGTGAATAATTGATTTACATTGTAGTAAAGAGAACTGTCTGTGAATCCGAATTGTCTGTGCACACACAATTCTCTTTTCCCTTCTCTTTTTCGGAGTCACATACAACTGATTTTCATTTTAGTAAAGGGAACTGCCTGTGACCCCGAATTGTCTGTGCACAAACCATTCTCTTTTTCGGAGTCACAGACTGTTTCCTTTACTAAAACGAAAATCAATTGTATACGCAAAGAAAAAATACACTCGGCGTGTAAAAGAGCGTATAAGTCGGCGTGTACAAGTAGCATTTTTTATCCAATAATATGAGTATATGACGTTGGGATCACTAAATTCCAGTTGCTTAACGACCAAGACAGGCTTCTCCAACAAATTGGTGCCCATTTCTAAAAAATGATTTGCAACCTCCACATCTTAACTCATCCTCGTGCCTTCAGCAATACGCCTTCTTTTCTACTCTAATCTTTCATTTTTCATGCAAACTTTCCTTTGGACAGAAGATTCCTAAACTATTCCCTTCTTTTATCGACGGGTGGTATTGTTCCCATCCGTCGAGTTCATACTCCTCCAACAGAAATGTATTTAACATATGAGAATTCCTCCATATTTATAGAATTATAGGAAATTTTAGTGAAATTTGATTCTAGTGAAATATAAGAGCACTACTTCTCGTAGTACATATGTCACATTATATGTTATAGGTTTAACTTATACAGAGTTTACTCAAATAAAGACTAAGTGAGTGTTATATTATCAAATACTTAACTTTTATTTTCACACTCGGAATTGTTTTGTAATTAAAATAAATAAGATTGAAGTTACTTTTTAATTGAATTGGCTAAAGTTATTAAAGATGATCATTTTCTTTATTTAATTAATTGAACATATCTAAAATACTACGTATAATTTATCCATAATTCAGCAGATTCTACCAATTCAGCTAGAATTTCATCAATTTCAGCAAATTTAATCGATTCAATCACTTTCAATGTTATCAAATGAGCTCTTAAAATAATAGGAAAACCAAACATTGTAAGAAGACCTAATCAATAATATTTTCAATCTATACTACACTCATCCCACTAAGATCGGGAATGAGCGAATGACACGATTATTAAGAAATATAAAATTATGTTGTTGATTTTAAAAATATAAAGTACAATTAAAGTAAGAATAGTTTATAACTACACAAAAAAACTACACAAATCTTACCAAATATGATGTGAGACAAATTTAGAGGGACAAGAGGAAAAATGAAGATTAGACAAAGAAATTGAGACGGAGTGACAAAAAGGAAAGGGCTTGACTTATTGACTATGGTAGAACCGTAGAAGTACTTATTTTTAAAGCTAGAGACATGCATGTTCTTGAAAAGAGTGAATTAGTGGCAAAAGAAAATATGTGCATCAAACGATGTGGAAGTGCGCTCCTTAATGTTTGGATTATGAGGTTTTAATTTTAAAATCCTCCGTAATCCGTATTCAATGGTACAATAATATTTTCTAAAAAGTCAGGCATTTTTCCATTTTTGCACTCTTTAAAGTCGAAATGTTCTTAGCACAACAAAATCCAGCAATCATGTGAAATACGACTCAACCCAACTAACATAATATTTCGAAACACGTTATTTAGCATACATCTTGCCTTAGATTTTGTGAATCACTATAAAAGGGTAATGCAAACATAAAACTTCATTCACAATTTATGTACACTAATAGCGTATCAATATCATGTTTCCAACACCATCTTTAATCCTTGATAATATTAATAATAAACTTGCTCTTCACATTCGAAATCCTAAACCTTTGAGGCACTATTGATATTTGTTTTGCAAATTTTCCCTGCATCACAATGTACGGAAAAGTCACCGGAAGCAATGGTGGTAGCAGGGATTTCAGACGTGGTCAATGCTAGCAAGTGCGCACCACCTTCCTTGTTCTTCCGAATCACCAAGTAAGCAATGCTGGCCAAATACACGAGCATGGCTGAAAATCCCAAGATTCCACAAAACACAGTTCCCACAAATTTAAGATGGCTGCTACGGAGAGATATAACTAATTTCTCTACTAGATAGTACACGTTGATGCCTATTATAAGAGCCCCGATAACCCATGTTGAGGCTGAAATCTGCCCCCCACAAAAAGATATCATGTTAGCATACAATTATATATACCACTGCATAATAAAGTGAGAGCAAAACTGTGCTTAAAAGTATATGACAAATCTTACAAAATATGAGTTGGTGTGTACACCCATCTTCAATCTACTACTTGTGAACTTCAAAAGAGGAATGAGAGCAAAAGGAAGCGAAAACGATAAAATCATCTGTGATACACACACACTCACACAGTCAAGCTTCTTAACAAAAACAAAAAAAAAAATGATTCTCTTTCTTAGAACAAAAGGAAAAGCCAAGAATCTAGCTAATACCGATGAAATGATAATTAGGTTTCCAGCACCATTCGACCCGCCGATGATCGCAACAATAAGGCTTGGGATAATTGCTAAGCATCGAGTCAGACAGTTCCTAATCCAGGGCTGCAGCTTCAAATCTAGAAACCCCTGTATGTAAAACAAATCACATCGTAAATGAGAGAGACATAGAGATGATGGTGATGATGGCATGATGATGAAATAATAGAACAACCTGCATGACATATTGTCCAGCATATGTCCCGGTAATGGTAGAACTCTGTCCGGAAGCCAACAAAGCAATTGCAAAAAGCTTGGAATTCCATCTACCAAGAACATTCTGCAAAGAAATGTAGAAGATTATCATCGTCACAAGCTTAATGAAGTTTTACCATGATATGATTACGTAAACTGAAGAGTTGGATACTTTAAGCAAAAATGAAGCTTTGTTCAAATCCAAGTCTTGGCACTTGAGTTTGTCAGCAGTGTCCAAATTTGGTGAATTGCAAACCGCACCACTAACTGAAATAACTGAAACGTTGATCAGAAATGCCACCATTAATGCCAATGCACTTTCCATCAAATAAAATTTTCTTGCATCCTGCAAATCCATCAGAGAGACTTCTTTTTCAATATTGGTGTGTTTTCAAATAAATTTAGCCGATGTAATCTTGTATAAAGACCGGGGGATTATCTGAAACTAGATGTGTACTCCACATATAATAGTACCTTGATGCCATTGAAAGACCGGGGGATTTTCCTAGAAAGGACAAGTGCCGAGTGGAGGAAAAGATTATGCCTATACCATTTAATGAATAATCAAGATCAAAAAGGTAAAAAAGATAATTCAAAATTAGTTGAAGAAATACATACGGCATAACCATAGCACCAAGAAGTGAGACAGCTAGCTTAGTGGCTCCATCTCCTTCAAGTTGTGGAACGAAAAGACCATGTAAAACTTCCGATGATTTAGGTTTTGCATATCCAAGCTCCACAAAGAAGCATGCAGCAATTGTGAACACAAGCAAAGCAATAAAGATCTCAAGTTTCCTCACCTACAAAATGTTTGAAACTCATTTTAACTTTCATCAAACTAAAAAATAGTACTCTCTGCGTTCTATATTATGAAGAAAATACCTATACTAATGTCTTCAAAGTTACTATGGAGCATTGATGAATGAAGGGTAATGGTGGAAAAGAGAGAGATTGATGCTTTCTTAGTATTTCAAAGTGAAACTAGTTTAACTTTTTCCTGTAAAACAACAGTTATGGAAGACGGAGAGTCTCTATTTTGCGTTTATTAAATAAAGAACTACCCCGTATTGCTGCAGTAATAGTAGGACCAATGTACTCAGGCCAGTGATTAGCACGCCACACCATAACACTATATTGAAGAGCATGTTCAGTGCAAAAGCCGTTCCAATCACTGAAAAAAAAAAAAAACAACAAACAAATAAATAACCAACGAATAAACAAACAAACAAAAATAAATATATAAATAAATAATAGGAAGAAATAGAAAGATACATATCAACATATGTGACATTGACATAAGGAGAACTAACATGGAAATTTACCTTCGGGGATGTCACATGCAACTATAGTTATTTCGGCTATAATCCACAAGATAAAACTCAAGATCTTTGGATACTCTTGTCGACAGTGTTCAGCTAAATGCTTTCCTACAATAAATTACATTAAAAAATTTAAAAAATGGACAAGAACCAAACAGAGAGTTCAGATTTGAGAGTATTATGAGTGTTAAACATTAGACGCATGCTAAGATACAGTTCTAAGAGATTAAATAAACCTGTAACAATTCCAAGGTTTGCTGCCAGCATTTGGACAATAACAGCAGCAAATGAAGCTACCAATATAATCCACAGTAACTAGCAAAGAATTAAAAAAATTAAATAAGGCATGTGATCATTGTATGTTTGGCAAACGTCAGAAGGTAAAGAAGTCTAACACTGCAAATGAAAACTGTAAAACCTAAAAAGATAGTGAAAATAAAGAATTATGGTCACCCACCCCATATTTGTACTGAGCTCCTGCTTGGAGGTCACTTTGAACTAGCAAAGTAGAAAACATGCAAATATCATAACCAGCCATAACAACATATTTGGTTTAATAATGGTAATAAAAGCTAATTTAGATTGATTGACTTACAATTTCCAGGATCAATATAAGCAATAGAAACAAGAAATCCTGGACCCAAATATGCCAAAAACTTCTTCCACCCCTTTTTCTGCAAAATAAATTAGAAAGTAATTGACAAAATGCCATCTTGGTTTTAAAACATACCAAACATGAGCTTTTAAATCTAGAAATTTCAACCTTTAATTAGAATCAAGAACTGATCTAGTGCGCGATATAGTCACGCCACGTGTGTGGCCGTGTGGGCCGTGTGGCTCTTTCTTTTTATGCTGATGTTTCAGCACTATGCGCACCGATTCATTTAGTTTAATTCGAAATGGGTTATGCTACAAGTACATCAACTTACACTTGGCGAAATCATGTTTCACAACACAGCATATCACCTTGACATTAGAGCTAATCACACTCGTCACATTAACTTTTTTAACTCGTTGGTTAAATTAGTTTTTCATATTGTTGTACTCATACAATTTTCCTTAGAAACGTGGATAATATGGCAACGGATACAATATCCAATCAGCTGAAAAAAAGATTGTAAAGAGAAAAAGAAGGCGCTGACATCTGGGACAACAATCTGGTCACATTCAATATCATCGATTGAGTGTTCATTGGAAGAATTGTTCGCGTCGTTACTTGTCGTGCACTGTGGGTGTGGAGCTGCGGCCATTTCACCTCCACCTTGTAAAATCTGTTCAAATACCAGTAACAACTAGCATTACTCAGCACAATTCATCGAACATCTTACATTCAAATCAAATTTGAATCTCCACACGTAAATGTCATATAAAATCAGGGAGTAACAAGGTTTCAAACACATACATTGGAGTGAGAGAGTCGGCGTGATCGTAAGGGATGAAAAAGCAGAGATCCATTTATATACAGAACGGAAACAGAGGTGAGAGAGATCAACCCAATTTGCGTGTGTGTGAGTGTGTCGATAGTTGCATGATGATTATAAGGCGGAAGTTAGAGTGGTTTAGTTGTGAATAATATGTAAGTGTTATATATTTTGTGTAATTGTATATTTTTTATTGATACAAAAGTTATATGATTGGTGCAAATGATTTGATATAAAATTTAAATTACACACGAAAAAATATGTAAGCCTAATGTATTTCTTTGTAACTTATTGAGCACGATGAACTTTGTTGCATTTCAAATATAAATCATGCGAATTGAAAAAGACACCACTCTTGCGTCCCGATTTTAATGTAATCGATTATAAATTTAATTTTGGTGAAGTGAATATATGAGAACGTCATAGGCAAAGTGTTTTTGCTACTGGTTTATCAGGCTTGAACGGCCTAAATATATTAGTGTTCGGTCCAACTTATTTTCTTCACTTTATCTTAAAAACATCATTTGATAAACAATATTCTATTCCTACTATTTGTTTTACTAACTCCATAATATAGAAAATATGTTTTAAATATATACAGAATTTTAGAGACTAAGAACACAAATCCTCATATTGTAGTTATTCGTTTTATTAGTTTTATTGTTATTTGTTTATAACTTGGCCACAACAACAGAACATTTAATACCTATGTAAGATATTTATATGTCAATATATTATAAATTCATTAATAAATAATATTAAAACTCATAGGAAGTATAAATAAAACAAAATAAATAAATAGTAAAACCTATGCCACCATGGACTAGGCGCTAAGCGGTCAGCCACCGCCCAACTAGCGTCTAGTGTCTTTTACAACAACAACACATATCGATAAATTTATAAAAGTATTGAATACAACAACAACAACAACAACACCAACAACAATCAAGTCTTAGTCCCAAAAGATAAAGAAAAACTCCCAATAAATATATTCATAGACTGAAAATAGTATTATAAATAATACATACACGCTTAAGAGAAAATATAGAGGAGATTCTTAAAACGGGACTTTTAAAACTCTCATCCAAAAACACGAGAACTGGTTTCGAGTATGAAAATACGGCATTCAAAAATTCTAATTCTGAACGGAATGGGATTTAGAGAAAAAGTAATTATTTGGTAAGTCATGTTCCGAATGCATTTGATTGCTAGGTTACGTTGGAACAGCTTGCTGCACAAAAGGGGACCATCCAAAATAAAATTCTATTTTTTATTTAAAGTGGTGTAACTTTTTTTTATTATATTTCTCCAATTTTTATAAAAATATATCAAAATTCATATTTTTTTTATAATCTTTCATACGACACCAATATTGTACATATAAAGTTTTAAAAAAATGAAGTTTCAATAGTAGGAGGCTTTCAGACTCAAATTTTTTCTTAAAAATATAGATTCAAGTGCTAAATTAAGATCTCATTGTTAAAATAATTGAAACATGTAAAAAAAATTGAACAACGAGATCATAATTTTAACACTTGAATTTATTTAAGAATAATTTTGGGTCTAAAAACCTCTTGCGGTTGAAATTTCAATTTTTAAAACTTTATATATGCAATATTGGGGTCATGTGAAAGCTTATAAAAAGTTACGAATTTTAATATATACTCCCTCTATCCCGGAAACAAGTTCCCACTTTCCTTATTTAGATGTCCCAAAATAAACTTTTCATTTCCTTATTTGTCAAATTATCTACATCAAAACAATGTCAAATAGTGCAAAGCAGTGTCAAACAGTGTCGAACAGTGCCAAACAGTGTCAAAACAGTAAAATTTATCCCTCAGTAACTTTATTTCCTTAAAATGTGTGAAATTCAACCCGGGAACTTGTTTACGGGACGGAGGTCGTATATATGAAATAATGTCCCGAGTTGTATGAGATTTGAAGGAAGCATATATTTAATGAGATTTGATTAAAATAAAATGCACACATCTGCCCACTAAACTGCAAGCACCATTGAAATAAAATGTGCACCTTAAATGATTTTGGCACAATGGCACCTATAGACAAAATAGATTGTGAGATTTCAATGAGTTTTTTTGCGTATTAATGCTAATTAATTAAGTATTTACGAAAATAGGGTTGGGTTACAAGTATTTACGGATATACTGCTGGGCTTAACCCTGGTCGGGGTAAGTCGCCCAACCGTTTGGCGACTTATAAGTCGCCCAACTGTTTGGCGACTTACCCATAAAAAAAAACGGTTAAGCTAACCTCGAGAACCCACCAGTCCAGTCCAGTATCGAGAAAGAAAGTTTAAAAAAAAAGGAAAGAAAAGAGGGGAAAAATTGTCTTTTGAGACCCGCTGAATTTTACGACTATCGTGTCCGCAGGTCGCCCGCGCAGGGGGGTGCGAATTTTTGGTTCTGAACTAGAAGCCGGAATTCTTGTGTGCGCGAGAGCTCCCCTATTCTCCTTCACCTTTTAATATTAAGTGATGAGTGGTTCATATTTATAGGCTTCAAACTTCCCAAGGAGTTTAGGTGTGGGAAAGTTAAAGAAACCCACTTTCCACCTTTGCTTGAAAGTGTACACCTTTCCATCTATCTTTTTCAAGAGCTAGTTTTGAGCCACTTTAAACTTCAAGCTTCAAAACTCCAACACCAAAGGTCAATACTACAATCAAACTTCATGTCCGGTACGTCCGTAGAAACAAAAACGAACCAAACCTATCTGCTACGTTAGATTTAAATGAATAATAGTATACGGCCCAGATTAAATTTAAAAAAGAACCGCCTTCGTTTTTCCGTCTCTGTACTTTACCGCCTTTCCCTCATTAGTGACACTCTATTATTGTCATTTAAAATTGAGTCCGTATGTAATCAATTAGAAAGGGCTTATTAGTAACTCTACAATTCATCACCATGTACTACGTATATTACTCTATATATATAGCACGTTCCTGTCATTACGCAACCACAACTTTTAAATCCATTAATGTTGATGTTATTTTTATATGGCATGTCCCCACCATTAATAAACATATAATATTGATTATTCACTTTTGTTTCAATTTTTATTAATACAAAGTATAAGTGCATCGTTTTTATATAAAATGCAATATACTCACATTGAGACTTGAGAGTGCAATAAATAAACCAATTTTTTTATTATGTTAGTTCAATTAGAATTTCAAATTTAAAATGCATTTATAGTCACCGATTTAACATGATGCTCTTCTAAATGATTATGATGCAACTGATGATCATTATGTATTTTATGTGTTTCATGTAATAAATGTGACATTTGGTGCATGCAATTTTTAATTTGGAGAAGTGCACTTTTTAAGCAAAATAGAATAATAGAACAATGAAAAAATAAAGGTATAAACTTCATAAGTACATTTTGCATCATGCAATCGTGAAATTATATATCAAAACTGCACAATTAGAATAATGCAATATTAAGTGCATAATAAAGTTACGGAATTCTTGCAAAAAAAAAGTTACGGATATGATAAAATAGTAGCAGCCTTGAAAGAAATTGAGTTCATCAAACCATACAATACGAAGAAGTATTAAATTAACTGCTTCAAATTAAACATATCAAACACAGTTATGTTTCAAAAAATTATTTGACTGCCTTCCCGATCGAATTTTTAGCTGAAATTTCTTGTGGGTAAACTAGACTTGATGAGGAACATTCCATAAAAATTTCATCAAAAAACTCCACCGGGAACCGCCCTAAACGGCGGCGGCCGGACGGAGGATCCTGTCCCTCCGGCTGGACAGGATCTTTTCCGTATATATATATATATATATATATATATATATATATATATATATATATATATATATATATATATATATATATATATATATATATATATATATATATATATATATATATATATATATATATATATATATATATATATATATATATATATATATATATATAGGTAAGAGATCAAATGCAAACCATGCTTAAAATGCAAACTCGTGAAAACTCCGACAACCGGTGGTATTTTTTGCTCAAAGTTTTTGTGTATGTTCCTCATCAAGTCTAGTTCATATATACCAAATTTGAGCAAACAATTCAATCGGGAAGGTCATCAAATGATTTTTGAAAGAAAACTGCATTTTATATGTATTTTCCGGACCAGTTTTCTTTCAAAAATCATTTGATGACCTTCCCGATTGAATTTTTTGCTCAAATTTGGTATAGATGAACTAGACTTGATGAGGAACATACACAAAAACTTTGAGCCAAAAATACCACCGGTTGTCGGAGTTTTCACGAGTTAGCATGGGAGAACTAGTTAGTATGAGATCTCACCCCTATATATATATATATATATATATATATATATATATATATATATATATATATATATATATATATATATATATATATATATATATATATATATCGGGGTGACTCATGGAAGCTTTGATTGTAGTGTTGACCTTTGGTGTTGGAGTTTTGAACCTTGAAGTTTGAAGTGGCTCAAAACTAGCTCTTGAAAAAGATAGATGGAAAGGTGTACACTTTCAAGCAAAGGTGGAAAGTGGGTTTCTTTAACTTTCTCACACCTAAACTCCTTGGGAAGTTTGAAGCCTATAAATATGAACCACTCATCACTTAATATTAAAAGGTGAAGGAGAATAGGGGAGCTCTCGCGCACACAAGAATTCCGGCTTCTAGTTCAGAACCGAAAATTCGCACCCCCCCTGCGCGGGTGACCTGCGGACACGATAGTCGTAAAATTCAGCGGGTCTCAAAAGACAATTTTGCCTCTCTTTTCTTTCCTTTTTTTTTTTTAAACTTTCTTTCTCGATACTGGACTGGACTGGTGGGCGACTTACCCCGACCAGGGTTAAGCCCAGGTCGATTTCAATTAGCATGGTGAAGGTATTTTAGTCCAACAATATGTCTTATTTCAATTCAGAATCATATTTAGTCGGAGATGTGAGATTTAGTTTAGGTTTACATCGTCAAAGTATGCATGGATCATTTCAGAATCATATATAGTAGCTAAATAAATGCTTAGTTGGCTAACATTTTATTCAGTCAGTTACTTTAACCCTTTATTCGAAAAAGACTAAAAAACATTGTAT